CCATAGTAACTCAAACCACGTCGTTTCTCTCGTGTTTCTGCACACACTGTTAAATGAACTGTATCAGAGCAGTCATGCTGATCGAGCTAATGATCAGACGAGTGAAGATGAGACAAGTCAAATTTTTTGGCTATGAGGGTCTTTCACGACCCAACATTGTGTCGCGACGCAGGGTTTGTGAACCCAGGGATTAAGGCAATGAATTAGATTGCCAAGTATCGTGAAACGAGTTCAACAAGACTAACCAAAATGCCTAATATTGAGATGTTAAATTCGAATTACAGGATGACAAAAAGATGAAAACCAAAAGAACAATAAATAATAAGTTAGATTATTGTCAGTTTATCCAGAGTGCCGGAAAACAGAGAGAGGTAAGGAGTACGTGGGAAGACGAAATAAGACTGTGACGGGGAAGGACTGCCTCAGATGGGATTCCAAGCCCTACGGGAAACCCAATGACTTTGTGACCACGCTTCTTTACGAGGAGCATTTCTTCAATGAGGACCCAGGCTCCCATGAAAACTATTGCAGGAATCCAACTTTGAAGGAAAGACCTTGGTGTTTCATCTCGGATTCTAAAATCGAGTGGGAATTCTGTGACATCCCCCTCTGCGAAGATCAAGGTCAGATGATTCTAAGTTGTTAAATATATGAGATTATGCTACTCCTTAAATGAATTTGGTGAGAATGCGTCCTAATGCCAATAGCTGATAGATAATAGATCCGCGGATGATGAGAACGACGAGCACTTCTCAGAAAAAAACGAGAATAAATGTGAGATTCCATATAAAATGAAAAGAAGTTTTAAAGAAGATTGAAAATGAAAACTGACTTAAATTGGATGAATTAGGTGTTTTAAAACACCCTTCAAGAGGTGTTACCAGAAAGGTAGCGTATCCTTAGATGTGATAACACTATTTCCATTGCTTTGTAGTTCCACTGGAGTGCAAACTGACGCAGAAAGGTGGAGAATATATGGGAACCCAGAACAGCACCATTTCAGGGATCCCATGCAAGCCATGGCTGAAAATGCCATTGTCAAGCCAATATCGCAAATGGAGCCAGAGAATCCCTGCGTTCTCAGATGAAGTGCAAGAAGGGCATAAGTACTGCAGGAATCCCGGGGGTCGTCCTGGAGGACCTTGGTGCTACTACGGCACGTTGGAACATGAATGGCAGTACTGCGACGTCCCCTTCTGTTCCCTTCCAGAACGAGAACCGAGTCAGTGGAACAATGAAGTGAACAAGTTGGCTTAGGATAATCATAAATATGGACCTAGGGAGTCTCAAGTAACAGTTCATAGATGTTTCGAATAATCATTTCGGAAGAAGAATCATTTTCATTTAATAAATCATAAGTTCACACCTTATGCTCAATTTCCTGGTTCGGCGCTAAGGTTCGACTATTAATTTCCAAATGTGTTTTTTTTTCTAAATTTCTGGCGAAGTGAAACGCATTTATTGGAAGCCCCATTCCAAAGCGGTAAAATAATTTTACTTAACTTGATCTATCCTTCCTGAAACTATTCACATTTGTGTAGAAATGATATTTTTTTAATATTTACGTTCGGCTAGGTGCGCCCTCTCAAAGTATACTTGTGAATTTCAAATCGATTGAAGGACCGAAACTGGCGATTGGACGTTTGACATTGGTGAGTGTCCAACTGGGAGGAAGTGGGAAGATCATATCTCAGGAAGCTATTTCGACTATTAGTTGGGAAGTTAAATCCACGGTCGGTAATCGCATTGGATGTAACAGTTTAATGCATCAGAATAATCCATACTTTAACTCGATGCATGGTAAACATTCCAATTACGTTCCATGATTCGTGCAGCCTAACAACCTTTTGAAGTTCCATCCAGATGTCTGATATCTATACCGTCTTCCAGTTGGACACCCAAATACCTATGGTGAAATGGTTTGAAGGGAAGAGAAAAGCAAACAAGCATTCAGCAAAGTTTCTCCGCTTTGCTCATCTCGCGATCTCGAGAAAATTTTGGGGGGGTTTTCTACGAATTCTCCTGAATATTTCTGTCACATTTCATCAGGAAGAACCTTCTAAATAACCATTTTGGGCGATAAATATGAACTCCAATGTCGCTATTAAATTATAATAATCGGCCATTTTCTAAATTCATTTTAGCCCCACAGACTTTAAATTCTAACTTCCTTCATCGTACGCAAGGACGAGTATGAGTACTAAATTTCATCAATATCGCTTAAATTTTTCTAGGTCGTGGGTTTTTGGTGATGAGCACATTTATTTCTCTCCCCCATACTTAGGCCAGTCTCTGAATATGAAGGGTGAATAAATGTGGTTTCTCCTTTGCAGGTCAAATTCCAAAAATTGGAGCGATTTACCCAAATTGTCGGATGACGAAAATGGGCAGGGAGTACATGGGCAATGTTAAGACAAGCGAGACAGGGAAACAGTGCATGAGATGGGGTGAATTCCGAGACATGAAACGACTCCCAGACGTGATGGCGAAGCACTTCCCACTCTCAGTGGATCCCAAACAAATAATTCCTTTCTTTCAGTTGTTCATTAATAGGGAATTTCTCGATGCTTTGAATTACTGTCGAAACCAAGGATCGGGAGAGAGACCGTGGTGTTTCGTCTCCAAGAATCCTACCATTGAATGGGAATACTGTGACATACCCTTTTGCGACGACCTTGGTACGTTTATGAGTTTCAGATGCTTAATGTTTACATATTTCTTATCTTCGACGACTTGCAGAACATTCATTTCGAATTACTTCATGTCATAGCTGGTTTATTTTCCATAAAACATCCGCTTTCGAAGGAATTAACCCTGGTAAAACCATCTTAGTTCGAACAGTGTCTAATTCTGAACACGTTAGCGTTCAATGTCAATAAATACGCTTTCGCGAGATCATCAACAGATCAAGTTCTTCTTAACCTGAGACGACTATGTTACTAAGCGAAAGACTCATGGTGGCAACGATCGCTTTGCACGAATTCGAATTATCTGAGTGAAAATAATGTGATGTCGCCGACAGGACAAATTCAAGAAAATGCACGCGGACGACCGAGCCTGAAATACGCTTCACGAGCGTGAATGTTAAATCTGTGAATAATGAGATCATGGGCATGCTACTATACATTTTTGAGACTTCTGTGCAAGTAAGAGCGTGACGAGCAGGAGTTAAATTCAATGTAGGAACACCAAGCGTCGCATTGAATTTTTACCTTGTGATCCTCATGCTGAGAATCATATCACGTCAATATGTATATCTCCAAAATGACGCCATTTTTAAGGTGCAAACATTAAAGGGGGAATCGCTAAGCCCATTATGCAAGGACATTTGCCTCATTATTACGTTTCAGCTTCGACAAATGATGCTTTAAATGAACCAGTAGTTTTGCTTGATAATGAAACACCGAAGGCACGTCCATAGCGAGTTTGCTTGGTCGAAACGGGAAAGAAACACGTTAGAGAAAGAGAAGAGAGAGAGACACGTTCATACATAATTAGAAGGTACTGTTGTACGGGAGGACTTGTTCATCTAGGCTATGATTCATCCACAGGATCATTTGGCAACCTTTGCCAAACCCTCAACATCTGTCTCCTACCTCCTCATTCAGAAGAGACCGCATTGGGGAGTTAAAGCCTCCATACATCTATGAAATTCCTTTGTATTGCGGCATTGTCTGCAAGTCATCCTATGAGGCTTTTTCATTTGATTGGGAAATAATGATAATAATCCAAAATGAACCAAGTGTTGCAAATATCCTCTCGATTTTTCCTATGCGACTATTACGGTGGGAATTTTCAAAGTAATTGCATGTGTCATATAATCTGCATTATCAAACTACAGAGCTGAATTATCAAATTGCGATAATGCTGTCAGGCGTATATTAGGCATTTATCATTATCAATACGGCATTGCAAGAACTAACTCATAACCGGGTATTTTAAAGCCAACCATGAATTATCATGGTCCCCAACAATAAACGAGTGTCATGTGCAGAAGTCGAGGCTGGTAATGAAGAAACCCCCTTAACAGGAGTCCTTGTTTTTGGGAAGGGGAGGTAGGATTCAAGATTCAAGATAGTGATATCAAGAAGCGATTTCACCCATTTCGACTTCACGTGTCGGGGATCGAGCGTTCCGTATTTTTAGGGCAGGTCTAATTCTCTTGAAGCTAAATATTTTTCTTACTTTGGGTTTTTTTTTGCGTATCCTCGTTGCTTACTGTCTCGTACGGAACGTCAACATTGCCCCCCACCTTTTTGCCTGAACACCAAGCATCCAGTTTCTTCTTAAAGATAGTCACATGAAGGGGAGCCACAACTTCGTCTTCTAGCGCATTCCACTCGTTCACCACTCTGCAAGTAAAGAACTCCTGTTTCGACCTGAGCCTCACCTGCGGTTTGCGCAACTTAAGTTGGTTGTCTCTCGTTCTCTTCCTGCCATCAAACTGGAAAAACCTACCACACTCGACCATTTCTATTCCTTTAATCATCTTGTTAGCCTGCATGAGATCGCCCCTCCTTAACTTTCGCTGGAGCGAGAATAGTTCCAACATTTCTAACCGCTTCTCGTGTTAAAGTCCCCTGACCTTAACCATTCTTGTGGCCCTTCTCTGTACTCCCTCGAGCGCCAACAAATCGCCCTTTGGGAAGAGAAGAATTAACCACGTCCTTAGTAAAGGTCGAAAGGCCTTTTCGGGTGACACGGATGTGTCCCTGAAGCTCACTCAGTCTGTTACCTAGCCGAGATATAACGGACATTCAAAACGCTTCCGGGCGGGGGGAGGGGAAATGTGCATGTAAAGTTTTCTCCTGGAGAGTTTATTCTAGCTCAACATATGGCAAAAGTAACACACTACACCCCAGGGACACCGAGTAGTATTTCAACCTGTGGCTAGCAACTGAATAAGCAATGTCTTTTAAAACATATGAGCAAGACATATCATAGTTCATAGAATGCATCTTTGCGCTCTGTCTTACATATACGCAGAACACCAGGCATCTATGGGTTAGCATGAATTGTATGGTGTGCGGTTGTGTCTCTTATCAGCTAAAGATCCCAAGATGTTGGAAAAATTTTCCTGAAATACCTAAACGCAGTCACTTTCAAAATGAGTGCCATTCAAAATATTTCACAATCCGATACAGAGTTACAGACTCCAGGAATACATGATCCACTACATAATAGTGCGATAGTATTATCTTCAAGCAGAACTGAAAATTATATTTAATTTTTTCAGTTTTCTGTGAAATCAACATTCACATGATTTCAAGATAAATAAACTTCTTCATTCGTATTAATAGTTTATTCTCATGTTCAAACAGTTATAACATGCAAACAATAAACATAGTTACAAAGCCCACATTGGAACGAGTGCAGTATATCACCGGCTTTGCTGTTATTAGAGTAGTAATACCTCACTAAGACGACCTGGGGCCTGTTTCATGGAATTTACAAGTTCTACAAGTTGCAAGTTACAAGTATTTGCAAGGGTCGTGCTCCTTGTTTAACTCTTCCTGCTGGTCCCGCTGGCCCTTCGTACAAATACAACACGACCGTTGTAATTACTAGTAACTTGTGACTTGTAGAACTTGTAAATCCCATGAAAAAGGTCCCTGCATGTCCAAGTAGAGCTTGTTGCTTGGAATAAGAATGGCATCCCAAAGGGGAGCTTGTGGATCTACAGACTGTCCAGGAAATAACTGAACATTGTCCTTCCGACCTAGCTCATGAAGGCATGGTCTTGTAACCCGACGTCTCCAATAGAATTTTAGCTTCAGTGATTTAAAAGTCTGTTGCGCATCGTGCAGCACATACCACCTTAATAGACCTTGCACATGCTATCCGCCATCATGAGGCAATATTAGATGTGGTACTGCTTCGATCAGCTGTCTATTACCTCATATCTAGGATGCAACCTATCGTAGACATGAAAGGAGGTCAAATTGAGCAAATCCAAAAATTAAGCAAATACTGGTGGCCCTATCCAATGACCTCTTACGTCTCTTTCCCATGGGCCAATTAATGTTCGCACCAAGTTGAACAGCTTTACGATGCAAAAAGTTACATATTATAACTCAGAAGACTGGAATAGATTTTATACAATCCTGTATGTGATGCCAGACATATTAGGCTGCATAATAGGTGCATAATTGATTTAGGATCACACATTTCTAAAATACTCACTTTTCACCATTATTGGTTCTCCAGATTTCCAGCTGAACATTGTGATACACAACCATCTATGCGGCTCCTCCCGCGATCTTCTTCTTACTCCATTTTTCCATGCAAATTTAAAATAAGCAACCGTTTACCTGTGCGACACCAACATGAACTTCGTTTAATAATTTCAGAGCATTCCAAAATGTAGACATCAAATTGACCCAAGAGAACTCTTAGTATGTCAAAACACCCCTGTTCAACCATTTTGGCAGTTCCAATGGAGTGCAAGCTGACGCATTACGGAGGGGAATATCTGGGGAAAAAGACCGTGTCCAGGTCTGGGAACCCATGCCTACCATGGCTAAGCCGAGTTTCAAGTGACAACCAATATGACAATGTTCTACCGGCCTTCTCGGATTCCCTGGACAGCAGGCACAATTTTTGCCGCAATCCAGATGGAGCTATCCCCTCACCATGGTGTTGGACTACCACACATGGCAAAGATCCCCAAATGGAGGAATGTGACATCCCCTTTTGCTTTGAGCTCCTCCTGGAATATCCAAGCAACTGTGAGTGAATGCATGTTTTCGATGGTTTTCCTTTCTTCTTATGGTTTAAAGGGTACCTGGGTAATGCTTTCAACTGAACTATTCTCCTTGATCTCTCTTCGTGCCCTAGAATGAAAATATGCGCCCACATACTTAGTGTATTTTGCTAGCATCCCCAGAGAGCTTTTGGCGACTGACATGAATTATGCATGCATGTAGAAGAAGAGACTGCAAACTCTTGACTTAAATGGATATTTAAATGGAATCCAATGAGTGTTGACATTGTGTCTGCAGATGAAGAGAGACGCGTTTATCCACAATGTCGTCTAACGGAGATGGGTACGGAATACGTAGGGTCGATGAACAACACAGAACAAGGAAAAAACTGCCTCATGTGGAACCCTATTCTAAACTGGGATAGGATGACAAACCCCATCGAACACCCTCCTTCAATGTCTTGCAAGCATTTTTTGTACGCTGACCAACAGTATCACAAAAACTACTGCCGGAACCCGACGTTGAAGATGAGGCCTTGGTGCTACGTTTCTGACTCTCCTATCCAATGGGAATACTGCGACATCCCATTTTGTGACAGCAGGAGTAAGAAATTTGTTTTTACTCATCAATTCCCGGAAATATCTGTGTATTTCAACTGACACCACTCCGTGAATGGGACTTATTTTAGGCACTTGAACATGACATCCTGTTGGTAACATGCAAAGAATGATTCTGTGAGGCGTCTGCAACGTATACTTCTCTTAGCCCCCGTGGATTTGAACATTTATGAAATTGCCTGTTAATTTCACAAATCCCATCTGCCAATCTGAAAACCAGAAGTCATGTTACAAAATTTTCGAAAATGGCGTGTTAAAGTTGAAAATAGGGACAAAATTAAAAGCTGGAGCTTCACAGAAATGATCAAAGTAGGTGACTATGAATTTCTAACGGCCATGAATCAAATTATAGATAACATTTATTTTATGATGGGCTTAGCTATTGAGTTTCCTGAACCATGTGGGATAAACTGGCACTCATTTCCAAAGTTGGCGCATCCAAACCATGGACGTAGCAAGGGGGGTGTCCTGGGTGTCTGGTCACCCCCCAAAATGAAGCAAGATTTCATGAACCCAGGAGTTTGAAAGTGGGAGGGGGCAATTTCGTCATTTCATGAGCCTGGAAGAGCTTCACAAGTCACCCCCCGAAAGTAATTCCTGGCTTCGTCCCAGATCCAAACAATTAAATGAGGAAAGCAAAACTTCAAAATTTACTCTTCTCAAGTCAAAGAGGTTCATTCTTTCTCAACAGCTCCGCCGGAGTGCAAGTTGACTGTGAGTGGTGGGGAATATGCAGGGAGGAAGAACGAGACGAATTGGGGGCTACCATGTCAAAGTTGGAACATCTCTGGGAACCACGGTTTCATTGAGGAGATGAACAGATGGGCTGCATTCTCAGACAACGCACTAGAGGATGGTCACAATTTTTGCCGGGGAAAGACACTCAATGAAAGGTGTACCGTCGGGCGTGGCAGGCCACTTAATTTTATTTCAAAAATTTATGGTCCACACTGCCTTCAAAATGAAGGCGCAGAACATAGTTGCGACATCCCATTCTGTCCAATGATGATACGACCAAACAATTGATCATCTGAAGTTTGTAATTGTCATTCTTTCCCTGAAAAATTTTTCCGAGACGCATAGTTACAAATACTGTATAGTGTGAAATGGGAATTGATCTTGATCTTAATTTGAATGAATCTCTCTCTGGTATTCTTATTCACTCTCCACTTGACTTACATGTGATACAGCCATTTGCAATGACACAGGAACAATTAAGAAAATTCGTGAAATGAAATATCGGTGGAGTCTTCAGACCAGAAATTTCCTAAAAACATGATAACCATTCACTTCTTTGCCGCTCGGACTTCACACCGAGGCATGGCTATTTTTCCCTGTAATAACATTAGATTCTTGTTTCCTTCACACCTCTCTTTAATTCTTGCACTTCCTTAATTTATATATTTTGCTGTAGTCTTCATATACTGTCAAAAACCTCGTGCTAATTCATAGTCCATGCAGTCCAACCTTACCACACTTAATTATCAAAGAAGTCGTTAAGTGTCATCCATCTTCTTTTCCCCTGGGAGATGAGGATAATTTCCCTTTGACCCCTCTGGCAGTATCTGGCAGTGGAGTCAAAGGGGGTTTTTCAGCGACTTTGAGCTACTGTCGATAAATATCAACAGTCGTTCAAAGTGTAGTAATGAAAGAGACCTTTCCGCACACGATGTGTATGGAGTTTCAGGACTACCTAAATAATTTCTCGAAAGAATACCGCATTTTACACCTGTTCTCATCGTAGTATCCTGCATGGTATCAATTCTGATGCTACGATGTAAGATAGTAATACTTTTATATGATATGTTGGAAAGGTCCATTTTATGACTCCAATTTATGAGTTTTGGTCCTCTGATATCTCAGGATCACTGGGTCCCGGCTGATCTGCCCATCGTACTCGCTTTTCCTTCGGCACTTGGTTTACCCTCGGGGCACGAGACGAAGGCATTACTCGCGGCAAGTCGGGCACTGGCCCACGACTTCTCAATGCGTATCCTTCCTGACCTTGACCTTGTCCCACTGTCCTTCCTACGATATCTCTGGGCCCACATGAATCAGTTGGGTTGTCTCCTAACTCCCCTACATCAGCTTCATCCCCTGGTACCAATGAGTTTGTAACTTCACCTAAGCGTCTATCTTCTTCCTCTTCCTGTCTCGTCACTTCCCCTTCTTGCTCGATAGAATCATAAGGGAACTGGATCGGTTCGTAAAATCTTTTCAACCTGTTGACGTGTACCAAGTGTGCTCCCCTATCTTCTGGCTTTTGAATGCGAAAAGTTACGGGTCCCGTTTGTTCCACAATTCGGTAAGGCCCCTTCCATGGTCTGGCCAATTTATGTGTTAATCC